TAGCTTGGGAGAGGGTGGTTGGTTAAGAAGCTGCCTTTGGGCTGGAAGCAGACACTGGGGCAGAAGCCCCGAGGCTGGGGAGCTGCAGCCAGGCCCCAGCGGGCACCTCACTAGGAGGTTCCTAGTTGGGTCTAAGGCTGAGCCTCTCAAGGCAGCCTCGCCTAGCCCTGCCTGCGGCTGGCCTGTGGTGGTTGGTCAGGTAGTTGTCCTTCTTGGTGGGTTTCTCCCCCTCATCTAGGAAGTCACAGTAACGGGGTCTGTCTGGGCAGAACTCAGGGCACACAGCCCCAGCAGGACCTGGTTTTGGGGAAATATTTCGAGGCTATGCAGATATACTGTTTTTCCTTAAAGGTTCAGAAGAATCAGTTCTCTCAGAATGAGGCCAAGAATGGCCTCAGACAAGAGGTCAAGCTGTAATGACTAAATATTTGACCTTTTTATTTATGCTTTATTGCAGAGCTATCTATATTATAAATAGTGTCATTCCTGTGTCATTGACCCTTCTGTCAATTTCTTTGAAGAGTGGAAGCATTTATATTAACTGAATGGGGTTAATGAGGGTGCATTGGTGAACAAGGTGGAACATCAATAATTGATTTTAATTTCTTCCTCATTTATCAGTTACAAAAAGCTTATTTTATTTTTAGCATTTGTTGGTTACCAAGAGTCATACCTATGTATGGTATATACACGCACTCTCTCTATATAGTATGTATGTATATGGCTAGGTGTGTCCCAAGTTATTTATATATTCCTATGTATAATCCATTGCTCAGAAAAGCCTGGCTTAATGTTTTGCTTCTTATGCAAGAGACAGTCATGGAGTCCATGCAGTTAGGAGGTGCAGTCTTCCAAAAGTGACCCCAGTAGGGGTTGATGAGTGAGAAGTAGACATGTCCCGGTCTACTTCTGGGATTCAGCAGCCACCCAGAACATGCCAACCATTTGGCTGCTCTCCCCTGGAAGTTGGGATAATTCTGGGGTGGCCATTGTTGCTTCAGGGGTGTTGCCCAAATGGGCTGGTCCAGAGAGATAATGTGGTTAATGTGTTTTTAGATTTGTAGGGGGAAAAACATCATGATATATTTTTTTTTGAGACAGAGTCTCACTCTGTTGCCCGGGCTAGAGTGCCGTGGCTTCAGCCTAGCTCACAGCAACCTCAGACTCCTGGGCTCAAGCGATCCTACTGCCTCAGCCTCCCAAGTAGCTGGGACTACAGGCATGCGCCACCATGCCC